CCCCCACTCCTCATCCCCCAGACGAGCTACTAGCAACTCCATCCTGCACCCCACCCTGCCCCACCTGTGCAGTGCCTGCCCCTGACCCAGCCCCTCTCTCCCCCTCACTGCAGGGGCCTTGATCTGCCCCCGCGCACACACCTCTTCCCTCTCCCTGCCTCTTCCCCCCAGACTTACTAGCTAGATGCTGCTCTCCAAGTTGCTGGGCTGGCCGTATGCATGCTGCGGTTGCTCACATGCATGCAGCATTTATCAGAGACCTTATCGGTCACATCAGCCAAAAAACTGATTGCCGATAATATCAATTTTCCTTTTATTGGTGCCAGTATAATATGGACTGATGTATCAGTGTACCTCTAATAATTTTATAAGAAGGAAGCAAAATTCAACACCTTGAGACCTGGAAGCTAACACCCCTGCTCCAGCCTTTTCCTTTGAGTCAAATTTGCATACTTGTAGAGCAACCTCAATGCAACAGAAATTCCTTGTCCAGGAGAACCTTTCCATCACCAATTCTCTGGTGAAATATGAAACATCATAACAAGAAAGAAACATAATTCAACACCTTGCTTGCCATCAGACACCTCTGAGGTAAACAGAATGCTCCAATTTTTATCCAAGCCTAATTTGCATAAAATTAACTTTTCTAATCAGGAGAAATTACACCACCCTCCTGCTCTCCTGTATAATATGAATTTTTGTTTCTACCTGGGGGAAATTTTGCAATCTTTGCATTCTCCTATGCACGAGGAAGGGTGAGTGTGCCCAAAAGCTTGCAAATAAAGACAATTTTTTTTTCTACTGTCTAGTTAGTCTCATAAAAGGTATTGCCTCTAGCATACTGACTGCTTGTACTTTTAGACCAACATGGTGATAACCTTTATCCCCAAGGCACAATGTATACTTACATAGCTCCAGTTAAATTTTAAATTGTAAAAACAATGCAAACGTATTTAATTAAATGGCCTGAACACTACGAATGAAGACAGGCACATCATCACAAAATGTCTGCAGTGAAATATTGGTCTTACTTAAGTCAATTGAAGTGTTTATTTTTTGTTTTAACTAACCCTATACAGAAGTGATTCTCAACCTTTTTAGACTCAAGGCTTCCCTTGGAAAAAAGTAGCTTGTAGTTTTCACTCTATTTTTTGCCTACAAAAAATAATAGAGCAGTTTTTCTGTTGTGAAGAACTCAAGAAGGCCGCAACTATGGATTTCTATTTGAAGTCTCTGGGAGTTTATCTTGTGAATCGTATTTGTAAACCTAACAGCACTGTAAAATACAGTACGTATGGCACCCAGTAGCACTCATGAACGGATTTCATGGTATTCTGTCAGTGAATCACTGCAGCAGAGTTTGCAAACAACACAGACTATGCTTGATTTTAGCCAGCAGGTGGAGTTAAAAGGACAAGCTACGAAATTTAGCCAGCTGAATTACTTTTACTGCACAGCTGGGTTCAGATAATGAAAGATATTAAATATGATGGACCACCTCTATTCAAGGCTTTAAAAGTAAATAGAATCTTTCAAATCAATACGTATTTACACACTTTTGTCAATATTTCAAGGCAGTTAGGATAACAATTACTGCATAGAATTATAAGCATTCACTATTGATTTTTTTAAATGGTTCCCAAGAATGGAAGAAACCACAAAAAAGGTTTCCACTCTGCACAACACAATAATGGAAAGAACTGCAAGCACTCCTTGCACTGGAAAACTTCAATCACTCCTGACCACAGGAATAAGAGCCAGGAACTCCCAAGTCATAACATAAGGCCTAGAACAAATAAAGATGTGTGGACCCAAGCAGCCTACAAGTTAAATGCCGTGACACTTAACTTTTGGCTACCTATCATACCAAAATGGAATATGGAAGCCCAGATTAGGAGCCTCAGCTCTAAATGCGACACATGAGAAGAGTTAGGCACCTCCAACTAGTGATCTCAAAGAACCGCACCTAGGTGGTAGGAGCTCCCTAGACCCAACCAAAAGGAAATGCTAAGCCCATGGTGTTGTTGAAAATGGTGCTCCTCTCCAGAGCACAGGCACCTCCATGCATGTGGGAGGCAGATCCCAGAATCCTCTTCTGAGGAATCAGACCCTACAACCATTCTTTCAAACAACTTCTTTCATATGACAAAAATGGTGTCTGCATCTTTATCTTTGTGCACTTTGGCGTTTTTGTTGTTTCGGGAGCTGCTGGCCATCAGAAACATTACCAGGGATCACTACATGGGAGCGGCTCTTGTGGATCCCCTTTCAAACAACTGAGCAGGGCTTATTTCACTTCTAGAATGGGCTCAGTGGTCCAATCTAAAAGGAGGGAGTGGCGGCTTCTGGGCTCTACTCCCACAACTCTCTTTCTATTTTATTCAACAGCTATAGACCAGAAACAGTCTTGGAAGTAGGGACAAGAACCCAGGGCTTTGCCCACCCTGGGCAAATGCCCTAGCTGCTAAACTACAACATCAACCCTCACTTGCATTTTCTCTCTCTGTTCGGATGAATTCCAGATTCTGTTCTGCACAACAGCACATCTTACATCCAGGGAAGGATGTGAGATTTTAGCACTGAAAATGCTAACTTTTCTAGGTTATGGTCATGTTGGAGCAGTGGTTCTCAGTGTGACACAGTTCTCTGGGGCACCTCGAGATCCTTTCCAGGGTGCCATGGGGTGCCCCACAATGTTAGCACTGTTAGGCTTACAAACATGATAGTTAAGACAAATCCAGAGATTTCAAATAAAAGATTACAGCTGTGGTCTTCCTGAGTTCTTTCAACAGAAAAACTGCAATTAGTTTTCACTCCTTTTTTGCCCTCAGAAAAATAAGAGCTGCTAGGATTTCTTAGGCTGATCTCTTTTATTGGACTATGTCATTGGAATAAAGATAAACAAGCTTTCAAATATAAGGCATGTAAGGTCTCACATAAGGAATTGGTCCAATAAAAGGTCTCACCTGAGGTAGAATATCTTACATTCAAAAGCTCATCTAACTTCATATCAGTGACACAGTTGGTCCAATAAAAGAGAATCACCCTAAGAAATCCTTGCCTCTTGCGTAATTTCAGGACCATCACTCTTACACTACCAAAGCTAAGAGCCGGCATTCGCTGTGGGGTGCCTCAGGTCTAACACACCTGTCTCACACCGATTAACTTCTAGCCCCTCTCACCTTCCCTGCCATGCACTTGTATTTTTACAGGCCTGCATTTTGCATACTTGCTGAAGCTTCTATCAGGACACTACAGAAAGAAGAAAAAGACCAGCAGGCTCTCCTTATGCCTGAACAAGGGTGCTTGTGCCCAAAAGCTTGCAAAGAATTTTTTTTCCCAACTATTCAGTTGGTCTAATAAGTGATATCACATTTACCCAAATAACCTTGTCTGCTTTAAGTCTAAAGAGGTTGAGAACCAATGTTAGACTGAGGTATAGGTTGTAGCCACGTTAGTCTAAGGATACAGGCAGACGAGGTTCTTTGGGTAAATCTGACAGCTTTTATTTAGACCAACTCAATATTTGAGTTGAACCAAATATTTGAGTTGGTCTAATAAAAGCTATCAGATTTACCCAAGGAACCTTGTCTGCCTGTGTTAGAAAGAAATGCAAATATCTAGAACTCTTGGTTACAAAATTATACCTTTTATTAGACTGAGAAATTGCAAAAATATATCTTTTTCTGAAAGCTTTCGGGCTCATGCGTCCTTCATCAGGCTCAGGGAAAGTTCAAGATGGTAATAAAGTCCCTATATATAGGAAATAAACTTCATTTTTGCAAATAGTAAGCAGAAGCTGGAAAGCTGTCCCTCCGGGCCCATGAGAGTCTCTTTGTGAGCTTGCTCTTTGTTGGTTAGATCATGCAAGATTTCTTCCCTGATGGTGTCAGATGGCAGGCAGGGAGGTGTGCCCCCAGCAGCTGGTGGGGGCATGGCTGCACTGGCAGCAGCGGGAGTGCGGTGGTAGAAGCCCAGTGGTGGTGAGCGGGAAGCTCCCGGAGACGCTGTCAGCACTGTCATCAGCGGGAGGTGGTGAGTGTCCTTTGCCTTTTTGCAGGGGGTGCACCGCCACGCTCAGGGGGTGCACATGCACCTGTGCACACCCACTACGCATTGGTCCCGAGGTGTAGAAACCTTTCTTGTTGTTTAGCAATGAAGTTTATAATCCAAAAACTTCATGTTTTAGATTCCAATGTGTTAGACTGAGACAGCCACGATGATCCAGAAATTATGCTAGAGGCAAGGATTTCTTAGGCCTCTGCTACACATTATATATATTGCACTATTAACTGGCGAATCGCACAATGAATGTAGACCAGCCACAAGTGCAAAGTAATTTAACCAGTTAACTGTGTGATTATTACTTTGTTAATTATTATTTGTTGATTATTGTGGGATACTTTGCATATGTGGCTGGTCTAAATGGATTGCGCAATTTGCGCAGTTATTGTGTGCATTTATTGTGTGATATCGCACAGTAAGTTTAGACCAGCCACCCCTGCAAGGTACCTATCGGTTATCACCCCAGAAAAATGACTTTCCGGCTATAAAGATCCAACCAGCTACAAAGTTAGGGCTTGAAAATGTGTGTAACAACTCCAGGGCTGGTTTCTACCCAGCTTGACTCTGAACGTGCAGCACGGCCCTCGGGGTCACAGCAGGGGCCTGGGTGGGATCGAGTTGCATGCCTGGCTAAGGAGGTCTTGTTAGTCTCCATCCCAGCCGTGTAGTGGATCCAAGAAGAGCGAGGGCCACAGGCCTCCGGCACCCTGTGCCCAGCACAGCCCCCTCCTGCTAGCCACACACTAGGGGGATCCTGCTGCTGCACCGCCGGGCTGAGCCAGCAGGGGGCGGCAGAGCGCAGCCAGCAGCATCCTCTGAAGAAAACCGACGAAAGGGAAGAAGCTCCGCGCAAGCGCATGCGCACACGGATAGTCCACCTGTCTCCATAGTAACGGGGAAGCACAGTTAGCTCCTCCCCCCGCGCGCGCACTCACCGCCTCCTTGGCCTGGTAGGCTGCTTTCAGGGTCTGGTACGACAGCTCCATGGCGGGGAGAAACCGCTCGGCCGCGGACTAACAGGCACGGGCCGCGGACACACTCGCTACTCTCACAGCGGAGGGGGAGATGGGCGGGGACGGGTGTGCGCCGCTGACCAATCAGAGCGCGGGGGGTGGGACCTGACTGCAACACTGACTAAACAGAACGGGGGACTGTCGGAAAAGCCGTCCAATCGTAGGCCGCCAAAGGGGGGGGGGAAGAAAAAGGGGCGTGCTAGAAGAATTCAACCAATCAGCATTGAGGGGAGCCGGAGCGCGGAACGGACCAATCAGGAGGAGGAAGAGAGACCGGCGAAGGGAAGGGACGTTGTGCGCTTGCCAGGGCCTTCACTTGTGCGCATGCGCGGAGGTGATAGGGGATGTCAGGGCTCCTCCCATCAGAGCTTTTATTTTGCATCTAGCAATACAGTGCTGTTTGGGTGGACTGAGGGCAAAGCCGCTCTTGATCAACCTGTCTGGCTTTCCCGTCACAGAAGGAAGAGCCTGAGATAACAGCAGGTGTTTGTAAGCCCTCAGAAAAAAGGAAGGTTCAAAACCTGTTCCTACAGTTGCAAGGTGATGTTAAGCCTTCACATTTGCAGAGGCTTGTTCACTTCTGAAAAAAGTTTGCTTTGGGGCTGGAACGGTTCAGAGCGGATCTCAGCCCAAGGGTTAGTTTAGTTTGTAAGGTGGGGGAAGGGGAAATTTACATCCACTTCCCACTAAAAATAATGCAGTCCTTTTGGTTAAGCTACATCTGCAGCACAATATCTTGCAGCTTGCAATTTTGAATGTGTAGGTAGTATGCACTGAGCAGGGTCTTGGCAGTATGTAAAAGCAAATATGTTAATGGAGATTTGAATACTGTATAGGTAACTAAGAAGTAAACCTCATGGAAGGGAAATCAGGGCATTAAAGTTAGTTGGTGGGCATCAACAAGGCCTGATAAGGCCAATGTTGTAAAACCACAGCATAGTCTTTCTTTCTAGACAGACTTTATTTCTGTTGCTACTAGGTTATATTGTGTGCAGTTTAAAATATATTGCTAAGTGCTCTCCAGCAACCCACACCTTCCCTCCCCTAGAAAAATAAATCGAGTCACCCAAGCAACTTTTTTAGTCTTCAACAATTTTCATTTTATTCTATAAATTCTGATTTCTTTAAACTATTAAATTGAAGCATTTGAGTTGGCCTAATAAAGGAGATTGGATTTAACCAAAGAACCCTGGCTGCCTGATTCAAGCAGACATCTACATATACTCAAGCACACTAACCTCCCCATTGGCTTTAAGAGAACTGCTTAGTTTAATCAAGCACATGTATGTTTGATTTAAACTTCTATTTTTTTCCTCATGAGAAGAAAAGGTAAACAGCATATTAATGCATTGCTGCCCCTTTAATGTAACCATAGGAAAAATATGACTCCACTCAAGCAGAGTGGATAAGCCACAAGTGCAAAGTAATTTAACCAGTTAACTGGTTAAAAATATGACTCCACTCAAGTCAACATGTTCTCTCCATCTAAGTTCAAGTAAAGTAAACTTGGAAGCTTAATTAGGACCTCATGAACACTAATATTAAGCAAAGAAATTTCTCTTTACCATTAAACAGCTGTGTATATATGAAAAAGGCAACAGACTTATTACCTACTCTGCATCAATGTGAAGGTTAAATCAAACAAGACAGAAATTTAATACTCAACAGTAACTTAGCCCAAATTACATATTTTATTGGATAAATTGAATAAATAGGTATGTCTTCCTTTGGCCTTAAATCCAGGTTGCGTTAGAGGAAAATAAACCAAGCTGTTTAAAAGAATGGCTCACCTACAATTAGTAATGGCCAGCTAAGCCATATTATTACTTAGGTTTAAACATTCTCTTGCTGTTTGTACCCACAACTTTGCAGCTGTGTGCTGGTGCATGGGGACAGGAAAGTAAAATTATTCTATTCTATTTCATTATCAAAACACAACAAAGTACAAAATAGGCGGTGGACAGATTCAGTATTGTTCTTGGCTTTTTCACAAGTAATAATTAGAAGGTAACAGCTCCTGCCCTTTGATTCCAGCTTAATGCAGGTCCATCCCCTTATACTTCTCTTTTCCATGTCCAAGTGTTCCTGTTCTACTTGGCACAAGGATCTGTCATGCCAGGAATAAGGCATCTTTGCAAATGAGTGTATATCCAACAAAAATCAAAAGCTTTCTTCTGCTATAAATAACAGAAACAAAATTTGTTTCAGCCAAAGCACAAACTGACAATTTTAACCATAAGCCTGATTACCCATGGCATAACACCTTGTGCAATCATTAAGACTTTGATGTTCAAAGGTACTATTTGGAATCAATGGTGGTTAGATGCCCAAGTCCTTTTAAAGACCTGGTCTAATACTGACTAAAGTGGGTGTTAAAAACTACCTCATTCCAATTCTCCACTCACTTTCATTGTTAGTAAATGGCTCTGCAAGGTAATGAAGATCTGACCCAGAGCTTGCAGCTTCAAGCCTTTATGTTAAACAGCACATATGAACTCCAGCATGTGAGTGCTCCATTTAGCCACCATGGCTGCTTGTTAACATTCATCCTCCATACACGAGTTTATCTGAAGCCAAAATGGGATCATGGAGGAATCTAATTTGTTGAAATGCTAGGACCAGCTGTCGAGTTTTGGCTATCTAGGTAGAACGTGGAACAAGCACTCAAAATGCCTCAGCGGTATGAGCTTTTGTAGGCAACAACCTACTTCATCAGATAATAGGCACAAGGGTATTCCTAGCATCTGATTAGGTAGGTTATTGCTTACAAAACTCATGCCTCTCTCAATCAGTTTGTTTCTAAAGTGCCACCTTGTCCTATCTTCTGTCTAACTTCAGTCTAGTGATTTTCAACCAGGGTACTACAAAGTCCTTTCATGGATGCTGCAGGAGGTGTGAGAAAGGTTGAGTGCTGCCTTAAATTATTAGAGATTTAAGGAAACTAGCATTTCTTTGGTAACAAGCCTATTTCTACAGGCACACTGCTTAAATAAGCTCAGCTTTTTGCTTTGAGCAGGTTACATTAAAAAAACACAACCCGATTCTGCAGGTGTTGCCCCTCTGTCAGTAAAGGGCACCAAGTGGCTACCTCAAAATGAGAAAGCTCTTGGGTGCTGGCACCTTTCTCCTTCTCCTGCTCCTTCATCATAAGATCTATGAAAACAGAGAGGGCCAACCATGTAAGAGATGTTTCTAGGGCTGCAAACAAAACCTACAGGAGGAAGAGAATCTACAAGAAGAAATGGAAGAAGCTGCCAAAAAACCCAACATATGAGGTGAGCATATTTAAAATTCTGGAGCATGGGAGTGATACAGGGCTAGCCTTGGGGAATATGGTGCTCTAGGCAAGCTTGTATTTCCCCCACTTCTGCCCCCTAGTCAGTGGTGCTGCTGCAGGCAGGGGCAGCGGTGTGACATGCAGTCTGGCAGGGAGGTAGAGTGGCATGGTACATCAGGCAAGCACCACGGCTACCATGTGGGAGCAAAGCAGGTGGATTGGAGCAGGTGCCATCCTGCTGGCATATGCCTAGCTTGGCTCCTCCTAAGCAGTGACTGGAGACAGGTGGCAGGTTGGGCTGGGCAGGGCAGGGCAGGGCTCCTCCTGCCTGGAACAGGAATTGGGTAGGGTAGGGTAGGGGGAGAGCACTGCTCTGAACACGGGTAGGGGGAGAGCAACTGCTCACTTGCGTGTGTGTGTGTACCCCTCCAGCCATGCTTGCCTACCTGTAAGGCTGGCCTGGAGTGATGGATCAGGAAGGGGCTGATGTCCTGGTAGGTTGTTATGCATGGCTGAATAATTTCCCTGTGGACCAAAAGGTATGTGATTCTCTGCCTCTGCCCCTGGGCAACAGTGGGGACTAGAATCATGAGAAGAAGCAGGTGCAGGTCTGTGGAGGGGAAAAATGAAGACAAGGAAAAGGAGGACTCCAGGATGGGGGGGGAGAGAATAAATTTGTGAAAAGAGGAGAGTAGCAGAACAGGACCTGGGGAAGACTGTTGCATGCCTTCTCATTTGCCATTTGAGTGGGAATAAGAAGGGCTAGGGAGGGAGACAGAAATGAGATGGGAGGGTTGAGAAATGGAAGGGAAAAAAATGATCGGACCTTAAGGCTGTGTCTTAGCAAGCAAAGTCTCTGTCTGTCTGTCATATATGATAGGGGCTTAGAGAGTCTCCCACAGAGACCTCTTTCCCAAGGTTGATCTGGGAAAGATTTCTGTTTGGTTTTGTTCAAAACCTAATGTTAAGTGGCATTAATTGATGTAATCTTTATCAAGGTACAGATTTTGTTATGCTGTCTGTGACAGCTTAATCCAAAATCATAACCAGGCCTTAGTTAAGAACTATTTCTATGTCAAGGAACAGAGGGAAGGTGAAACTCATAAGGATCAGTGGCTCGGTGACCTAAAACAACAATTGCCACACCCAATGCCACTTGTCTCAAAACTAGGCAGAAAAAGTTATTGTTGGAATGGGCCCCTGGGCTTTGTCTGCCTGTAATGGGCAAAATCAGATGGCTTCACCTTAATGAAGGCATCTGGGGCCTCTTAGGTAGGGGAACTCTAGGAAGGAAAAAATTTCCGGTGAAATCTGAATAAGGCTCAGCGTGTATCAGAAGCAGAGAAGCACTGGCTTGAAGGTATTTTGGTAGCTTTATGGCAACTGGTAGCGGTTTTTGGATCATTCCAGGCCTGGCTAGGGTTAGCGTTCCAGCAGTTGGGGACTGGAAGGCTGAGCATTTTACCTGGTTTTGTGTGCTTTGCCTTCATATTGTATGGTCATTTCTCTTTTTCTCCTGTAGTGCAAATCCTTTTGCTACTTTGTCACCACCAATTGCCTGTGGTAAAGCATGGTCTAAGGGCAGTGATAGTCCAAGCTAGCCCCTTCCAATGGGGTGGGGAGGAAACCTAAAATTCTTTCAAACCCAGGGGGTAAATATTCCTCTACTGCAGCTCTGCAGTCTCTTATAAAGACAGTAGAGCCGAGGCTTGTAGGGATAAGGCATTATCCTGGGCAGACCTTGATCTGTTCCTTGGGAGAAACAGCAGGATAGCGGGCAGAAACTTGGGGCTTGGTTGGTATTTCTGTAGATGGGTTTGTGGCAGTGATTCTCTAGGGTTGCTATTGTGGCTGTAAATGAGGGCAAGGCCCAACATCCCTGTATACAAGTGAGGGGGTACAACTGAAAAGAGTGCCTCCTTGCTGCCTGTAGGAAATCATGCTTGCTATTTCAGAATTGTCTGTGATGAGATACATCCCCCCCACCCCCAACACGCTTCTATATTTTTTTTTTTCACGGTCAGCCTTCAGCTGGATTAGCTGTTTGCCTGTTTGTGGGATCTGTCTTTGTTTCCTATTTTAATAAATTGGTTATTTGGTTTAACAGCACTATTGGCAATGAAAGCGAATATTGTGACTAGGTAATTACCTCTGGCTGCTTTTGAAAATACGCTTCTCATCTGCACCTCAACGTTTGTTTGTTTTTTGTTTTTTTTTTCTGTAAATGTCTCAGCATTTCCCTTGCAGCACGAAACCCATTATCTAGCTTTAAAGTTTACCTCCAGTGACATTTTTCCTTCATTTTTTGTTTTGATTAATAAAATGTGCTACACTATCATTATTTGTTCTGCAGTGAAAATGTACCTGATTTAAATGTTTCATAGTTTCTAGGGTTGGAAGGGACCTGAGCAGATCATCTAGTCCGACCCCCTGCCATGGCAGGAAAGAGTACTGGGGTCAAACGACCCCAGCAAGGTGTACATCTAGCCTCCTCTTAAAGACCCCCAGGGTAGGAGCCAGCACCACTTCTCTTGGAAGTTGGTTCCAGA